CTGAACCACTCCCTAGAGAAGAGCTGCTTACCCAAACAAAACAGCCATCTGAGACTTTACATAAGCAAAAATAACTCTCTTTTATGATTGAACCATTACATAGTTTGGATCTGTTTGTCACAGCAGCTGGCACAACTAACCAAAGCAGGGGAAAGGAGGAAGGAGGGCTTTCTAGTATCCCTGACTACTAGCCACTCAAGCTCTGCCTAAATCCTTCCAGTGGTAGGGAATTCATTTCCTCCTGAAGTATCAGTTAATCTTCATTCATTCAGAGTCAATAGCTGTTTATTGAGTTCCTGCTATGTACCTGGCCCTGTGCTAGGCACGGGAGAAGCAAAGACAAACAAGGCACAGAATTCCACCTTCATGAAGTTCTCTCTAAGACTGGTAGACAGAAACTGAACAAGTGAGCAGGTGGTAGGCATGATGTTTATTGACTTGGATAAGTAACTTGAAGAAAATAAACAGATTGATGGCACAGACTAAGTTGGGGGGAGGATCAAATTTAAATGGAGGCACAGGGGGAGGAGTTCATGGGAGGCTGCTCTGAGGAGGTCATGAGACTAGACACAACAATTGGCAGACATCTCTGATGGTTTAAAAAAAAGTTGGGTTTGTTGTTGTTGTTTTGTTTATATTAACAGAAAAATGTGTCTCCTTTGGCTCCACCTCTGGTCCTAATTATATAGTCTAGGGTCCCAGAGAAGTCTATTTTCTTTCTCATTCCCAACTGACAGCTTTTCAAACATCCCGCGTTTGCAGACAGCTGTCACAGCTCTCCTATCCCCCAGAATCCCTCCCTCCCCTCCTCGTCCCTCCAGCAGCCCCAGGGGGTTGGAAACCCAGGCACTTGCTACAGGTGTGAAAACAGCAAGCATGCAGGTAAATGAGGGGTCCCAGAGACCCCCATGCAGAGGCTATGTGGATCCTCCCAACATCTTGGGGATAATGGGTCCCCCTCCCATGACATTGCCTATTCGTTTCCCTAGGGCTGCTTGCTAACTGCTGGCCCCTGTCAGGCATTGATTCTCTGACAGTTGAGAAGGAGCGAGCAGGGTCAGAGCCTTCAAGAGAAGCCTCTCTCTCCTCTCCCCTCTCCCCTCTCCCCTTTCCCCTGTCGTCTCTCTTTTTATTTTTTTAATGTTAACACCACGTCTCTCCCCTCTGTTTTAAACACCAGAGCAAAGCCATCTGTCCCCAACACTGGGCCCAAACCGTAGGCATTTGGCTGGAAAGCCAGCGAAGCAGCAGGTAGAGCTGCTCAGAGTCTTGCTCCTCCAGACTCCTGCTGAGCACCACACAGAGGCAGGGAGGCAGGGAAGCCGGTCCCCCAAGGCCCAGCCTCCCCCTCGTCAGAATGGACCAGGGCAACACGCCCTGGAGGGGCCCACAGAAGGCAGAGGCCTATGCAAGCTTCTGGGGCCTCTGAGTTAGCTGACACTCCCTGTCCCCCACCAGCTCCAGGGCCAGACTGGGGCCTTACACCCTGGCACAGTGTCCACGACTGTTTTCCTTGCTTGATTTGGAGATAAAAACAGCTGCTGCTCCTTGTTTTCTCACATTTTCCACCGAGGTCACTTGGGGGCAGGACTGAGTCCAGGCTTCCAGAAGGTGTGGCAATATTAGGGAAGCAAACGGTAGAGCTATAAGCACAGGACACACTCTGCCCAGCTTCTTCCATGCCAGAGAAGTCAGAGGAGAATCACACTGCCTGTAAGACTGGCCTCTGTGGCCGTCACACACTTTGTCCACTCCCTGGGGTCTTCTCCACTCAGCCCGACCCATCGATACAGTTCCCCTGACATGTCTGGCTCTCCTTCCTCCTATGCACACACTCACATTCTGATGAAAGAGTAAGGCCCTTAGGGTGCAAAATGTAGGGAGGCTCTCTCTCTTCAGTCACGCAAGAACAGGGCCAGCTCTGAGAGTCAGCGCCTCCTTAAACTCTGCACCCTAGGTGCCTCACTGGCCTCAGCCCACTGCGGGCCCTGCACTTGTCACCCAAATTTGTCTTTCCATGCAGTTCCCTGAGGAAACATTTTATTTCTTTGATCTCTCTCATCTCCCATCTATTGGAAAGAATTAATGGGTGGCTTCATGTTTCTGTGTAAAACATCGAATCCAGCTTGGAGAAGGAGATGTGTTTTGTTTTGTTAATTTTTAGTACTTTAATAGTTTTGTTGTTGTTATTGCCAATGCTTAAAACTCAGAAGAGTTCAAATGAAAAAAAAAATTGCATTTCTGGCTTCTCTTGACAACACAGAATGTATGGCCTCTCTGGCTGGAGTGGAGCCATAGCTACCCCTTTAGGCCCTTTGGACATGGCCTGTGCTCTCCAGACCCCCACAGCTCCACCTGTGCCAACTCACCACTTGTAGTACCTGCTCAGGCCCCATAGGCATTTGAAGTTGCAACCTTTGGTCTAAGGACAGATTACGTCCAGATATAAAGTAGCTTGTCCCTTATGGTACGATTTCTGGCAGCAGTGATTGGCTGGGGAGTGGAGAGATGCTAGGCCAGGGAGGCTGGGGGGAGGATTTCCTGATGTCCTTGAAATCAGGCCATGGAGGCAGGTCTCCATTTCACCAGCCAGGGAGCATAAAGGATTGAACCCTGAAGCTTAGGGGAAGAAACATGTTATGTGACAGCATCCGAAGAGCTACTGGGACGAAGGACTAACTTTGAGACGGAAATAGCACTGACCAAGGGTCAGGAGGCCTTCCTGGGTAGCCCACATCTGCCGCTGATCTCTGCGTGATGTTAAACACAATTCCTCCGAAGCTTCGAATTCCTCATCTCTTATTAAGGAGAGTTGAGCTGGATTGTCTCTAATGTCCCTTCTGGTTTTAACTATCTTGCATTTAATACTTAGGTGGAATTGTTATAGTACAAGAGAGTCTCAGAACATTGTTCGAACCTAGCTTAGAAGAGCAATTGAGCAAAGATCAGAAACTACATTTCTTCGATAGCATGGAATTTTGTAACTTTTGCGACTCTCTACTTATCCTTTCACAATTTCTCTGATTCTGCTGAGAATATGCACTTAGAAGAGCTCAAAAATTAGCCCAACTCAACAATCTCTTGCCTTAACAATCACTTGTCTGCTTGAGAATTCACTAGGTGCGAAAAATAGTTTGCTAAAGACTGTGTCTCTACCTTAAAGATACCCAAGGAGAAGGAAGCTTCCTGTCCACACAAGAGGAGGCTATCAAAGGGGAATTCAATGCAACAGGTGTCAACATTTATCTAGGCAGCACTGTGTAGCAGTGTGGACTGTAGAAAGAGACCAGGCAATACGATCAGAGTAAATTCCAGCCCTTGTTTTAAGGAGATTACAGTAGGGCAGTAAGGTTAGCACAATGCCTCCAGAATCCAAATATGCAAGAGAGGAAGATAGAAGTCTATCAAAGTTAGAAAGTGCCAGGAGGAGTCAAAAAAGGAAGGAGTTGCATAGGCCTGAGGAGGTAAAGTTTAAACAGGTAGTGAAAGATAAATAGATGAGGATGAGCAGAAAGGAACACAGCCTCCAGCCCTTCCTTCACCCACCAAGGACAGAAGCTTCCCGCTGCCCACCATTGCCCGAGGCACTGGGATGTAGGGGTTAACAAGACAGGCGCAAGTCCTGCTTCCATGGCCCTTACTTCCTAGTGGGGGACATAGACAAGTACGCAAAAAGTCAGATAATTTCAGATATTGTTGAGTGCTATGAAGAATATTAAATGAAATGATCATCACAGATAGCGACTATAAAACGGACAAGGAAGACCTCTCCAAGGAGGCTCCAGTTACGTTGTCATGAGATGATCTGGGGAAGAGCACCCCAAGTCATTTCTGGATGTCGCACATTGCCAAATATCCTGGGGGTGGGAAGGGGAGAGCAAAATGTCCCCAGTTGAGAACTGACATAGACCCTATAATAGCTAACACCATAAGGCTACTCGGGTTAACGAGTCTTTCTTAACCCAAGAATCCTATATGCAAAATGGTTTTAACCATCAGGGGAAGCATGAATTGGTCTACTACAGAGAAAGGCAAATGCCTTTTGCAAAATGTTGTTTAACCTCCATAGTCTCTGGCATACCAGGCTTCTTCTGTAGCCCCATCTCCCCTTGAGTAAGTAATGTGGGGTGGCAGGCGAAAGAATGGAGCCTAGTGATCGGTGGTATATGCCATTCTAGGACTACTCACTGCCAGACGAAGGGCAGGGCAACAGCTCCAATTTGCTCTTCTTAATTCTAGAACCAGCCTCCTGCAGTCCTGGCTCGAGATGCACATGGCAGCATCAGAAATTTATTCAAGCATCCCTATTGTTTAAGGCAGAGTCTCCATAGCTATTTTTGTCTATGTCTTTATTTTTATTGTGTTTTTTAAAGATGACAAGAGAGAAAGGTAAAGTACAATTTGATTCAACAGATACACATGGAGCACCTACTGTGTCTCCATTACACCAGTCATTCCCATGGGCACAAGCAAAGACATCTGAAGAACTGCAGGTCCTGGGTACGGCCGGGATGTGGGTCCATGTGTGACCCGGCAAGGGACAGGCTGCAGAGGAAGGCAGAGGCCAGATTTGGTCTCGAAGGCCAGATGAAGGAATTTCACTTCATCTCGTAAAGTATAGACAATAGGATGCCAGACTGAAGCAGAAATGTCGCTTACTTAATACCTAAGGGACCACGGGATTAACAGTCACCTTCAGCAGAGCAGACTCTTGGCCCTGCATTTTCTCTCAACCCTGTTTCTTCACTGTTTGGCGCAACTCAGCACAAGGGCACAGAAGTGGGAGCCACGAGGAGCCTCTCTGAGAGAATAAGCATGGTTTAACAGTTGCTACACTTCTCAGAATAAATTCTTGCCCCGAAGGGTCACAGCGCCTTGCCTCTGAAGGGGAGGGGACAATGAAGCTGCTACGGTGTGGCTCAGAAAACAGATTCAGGCTTGGCAGCACTTGAGAGCATTTTGGAAACTTCTTACCATGTTTTGTTTTGTTCTGTTCATAGGCCCTTAGAGTAAGCTGCAGAAATTGCCTCTGTGGGCTCGGATCCCTCGTTACTCCTCAATTCCCACAAGCTGCCCAGAGCCTCTCCTGACCTTCAAGCACTCATCAGCATGGTTGTCTTCTTTCCAAAATTGGGCTTACTTACCGTAGAGGAAGAAGCGTTCACCAGGTCAACTCCAGGCAAAGGTGCAGAGTGACTAGAAGCTGTGAATAACAACCACCGCAATCATACCTGTGACTCACTGAACAATTCTCAGAAAGCCAGATGCCAAGCTAAATATGCGTATCCTGTCATCTACTGGCCAGAACAGCCTAATGAAGTAGGTACAATTATTTTCTTTGTTTATGAGAGAGCTACTTGCCCAGCTACCCAGCTAATATTTGGCAGAATCTAGATTCAAACCTGGTACTCTAAAGCTGAGGTCTTTGGCCCCCAAACTCCCATTTCTCAACACTTCCCTTGGGCAGCCACTCCTTTGTCTGCCCACCAGGTACCCATTGGCTTGTACCTGTATTTTCTCAGGTCAATATCCAGTTCTTCCCATGTGAAGCTCCTTTCTCGGGAAAGTCTAAGCTGTACCATGAATTAATTCTATGACCTTGGGAAAAGCCCTGTCATCATCTGGGCCTCAGGTTTCTCATCAGTAAAATGGGGATGCCCTGCCTCTTTTATAGTCAGTGCAGGGATTAAATAGGTTTGTGTGCCCTCAAGCCATCGGTAACCTCTGATGGGCATGTCTTCGGAAGGTCTTATGACAATGCAGAAGTAACTCATGTAGTCAGAGGCTCCATTCCTGGTCAGAGCCAGTGAGCACCCAGGAGGGCTCCACAAATAAATGTGAACAAAAGGTGTCTGCACTGGGGGCAGCTCAGTACCTGCCAACTCCACTGGCAAAGCTCGCTCTTGGCTCTTTTCACAGAGGGAGGTCACATTCCACGGCCCAGCAGCCCAGCCCAGACACACCAGAAAAGCGAACACTAAAGGGGCTCTGTTTGTTTATGAAAAGGTCTGTGAGCCTCTAAGTTCTCCGGTTAGTTGCTGAGGTGAGGCAAGAAGACAAGGGACGAAGGAGACAGGGTCCAAGAGAAGCAGGGCAGCTCTCCTTGCTCTCAGCTCTTAAACGGAAGCGCTGTCGCCCAGGGGAGGCCAGCAACTTTCCCCACAGGTGTTCAGAGCTCAGACTTGGGTCTGACTGTCAAAGAGCCTGGGAGCAACAGTCCAGGGCTCGTGTCAAGTCTGCTACATTCGTTTACAGGAGCTGTTGTGACAAAGCATCACAAAGCGGGTGGTTTAGAGCAACAGGAATATATTATTTCCGCTCTGGAGGCTAGAAGTCCAAAATATATTACAGCTCTGGAGGCTAGAAGTCCAAAATCAAGGCAGCTGCAAGGCCATGTTTCCTCTGAAACCTCTAGGAGAAAGATCCTCCCTGGCCTCTTTCGGCCTCTGACAGCCCGGACGGTCCTTGGCTTGTGGTGTCACACCTCCGGTCTCTGCCGTCCCCTTCACATACATCTCCCTGTGTCTTCATATCATCCTCCACCTGTGAGCGTCTGTGTCCAAATGTCCCCTTCCTAGAAGGACATAGTCATTAGGATTAGGGCCCACCCCTCTGACCTCATTTTACTTGGTTACTTCTTTAAAGGTCCTATTTCCAAATTAGACCACATTCTGAGGTGTCAGGGTTAGACTTTGACATAACTTTTGTGGGTGACACAGTTTATTCAACCCATAAGGCCTGCCTTCTTCACATTTACGGGGGGAAATGGCTCAAAAGCTTTGGGTCTGAGCTCCAGTTCTACCCATAATTGACTTCTTGGTATTGAAAATGATTTTAAACATGATTCCTCATCTTGCTGACTTGGGGAACATGAGATTATAGAAATCACTAGCTTTATAGCTCCAAGTGAACCTCTGAGATCATCTAGCATTTCCCAAAGTGCTCACAAGAGTACTGATCCTCCAAGTCCTCCTCCAAGTCCTCCTGGAGTCACGATAGGGACTGGGGCTGTGTGTCCCTCCTGGGGACTCTCAGTGTGCATCAGTTGGGTGAAGGCCTTGAGACATCCGGCAGTAAAAAATGCTTGCACCCTCTTTGTCCCAGCACCTCCCAAACTCATTTCACCGTGGAATCGGTTATTCGGGTCATCCTGATCACTGATCCTCACTCAGGAAATGCTCATCTCAATTAAGCCCCCTAGTTCGTTCAAAAACCAGGACCTAGACTTTGATCACCTCCTGCAGAAACTACCTGCTCCCTGAGGTGAGGATCTCAGGCTCAGCTTTGCGGGGAACACAAATTGAGACAAATCTTTGAATGAAAACAGCTTTACTGCTATCTAAATTTTTTAGAAATTGTTTTTTAACACTATGTACTCAGTAAATTTTCAAAAGGGTAAGAAAGGTAAGTTAAACTCTCCTTGAATCTTCCCACCCAAAAATAGCCTGCTAATATTAGATCTTTATTATTTCTGCCATATTTCGATTGCACTAGGAGGTAAGGAGGCTTACGAACGGGGTAGGAGCTGGACCCAGAATCAATGAGCTCAGAAGCGCATCCTGATGTTAGCTCTTGCTCACATTTTATGCAGGTCCCCGGGCCTCAGCTTCCCCTTCCCCTTTTAGGGAAAAATGTCTTCCTATTACAGAGCCTAAAGATTGGTAATATTAATGGCTACCATTTATTGGGTGCTTACTAGATCCACACAATATTATTTGTTATCATCATCCTGGAAATTAACCTAAGCATCATATCTACCCAAGGAAACAAACAAGATCACTGAGGCTTTGAGAGTTTAAGTGACTTACCTGAGGTCTTACAGCTGGTAGCAGCAACAGAGCCGAATTCCTATAAACATTGATTCCAAAGAAAGCAACTCAAGGTGAAAGATTTTCTGGGAGATCTATTTTGCTGGCAAGAATGGTAGCAAGGGGCCTGACAGTGTTTGTGAGGTTGAGCCCTTGGCACAGAGGCAGCGGTCGTTTTCTTGAGGGCTTGGTGAGGTGACAGCAGGGGCAGTGGGTCCCCAATTAGTCCGGTGCTTCGGAGTGATATTTTCATTGCTCCCGGAAGCTTTGCTTCAAGCCTGGCTATCCATTTCCCCTAAGAATTTCGAGAACCCCCAATATCCTTTTGATAAACAACTTCTCTGCCCAATTAGCCAGAGTCAGCCTCTGTTGCTTGCCACCAGAAACCATGACTGTTACATACTGTGTCAGTTAGAGAGAGACCTCTCCACACAGAACTCTGGTGGCTTTAGGTGTCTTCATTGGGCAGAGATAGTCAGTTTCTGATCAATTTGGTCAAAGTAGACAACATATTCATTTTAATCCCAAAGGGAAATTTTGGGCAAAGTTATACAAATTGGTTTAAACCATACTAATTATATTACCCTTTGATGGCTAAATCTCCAGTTCACATTGTATTTTGTGCCCAGAGTCTAGGTGTCAGAAGCCAAAAAGAAACCATGCTTGCCTGACCGAGTCTTCTGCAAGAACTTTAATTGAAAATCATATTTATTCTTTAATCCAACAGTTCTCAAATTTTATGTCCTCAAAACACTTTTCACTCTTAAATAATTGAGGACACAAACAGCTTTTATCATGTAGGTTATATCACCTATACCTGCTGTATTCAAAATTAAAACTGAAAAAAAAATTTTTATAAATTCATTTTTTAAAATAATAAAAACATTATGTGTTAACATAAATAATACAGTGTTGAAAAATAACTGTATTTTCCCAACAACAAAAAATTAGTATAAAGAGTGTCATTGTTTGACATTTCCGAAAACCTCTTTAATGTCTGGCTTAGTAGAAGACAGCTGGATTTTCATATTGTTTTCTGCATTCAATTTGTTATATGTCATATGCCATGTAGCCTCTAGAAAACTCCACTGTACACTTATGAGAGAATGGGAAGGGAAAGACAAATATTTTAACATTATTATGAAAACAGTTTTGACCTCATAAACCTCTTAAAATATCTCAGGAACCCTCAGAAGTCCCCAGACTACAGTGTGAGGACCACCACTCTAATCTCTAAACCTTTTCATGCCTTGTATCCTAAGTTCAAATCCAAGATACAGTTGATTCACATGACAGGTCACTTTTACATCCTAACTGTCAGCCTAATGATGTGGTCCCATCCTTCAGAATTATTCTATTTACTGATCCATTATCTCTCTGCCTTAAGGTATAACAGATTATCTGAAGCTCTGCTCAAAAAGTCAGGAAGCCTGGTTCTGCCACTAACTAGCTGTGGATAAGTCAGTTGTCCCCTCCAGACCCTAGTTTATCCACTTGCCAAATAGATACTTATTTACTTCATAAGACTGCTTAAAGATTAAATTGGATAGTAGGCATGAAAATACTTTTAATACATCCATGTAATAGGATATTATATCATTATTTTAAATGATAGTATTATTTAGGATGCTTGAGTTGTCAGTAACAGATAATAGGACTCAAATGGGCTTAAATTTATTGACTCACTTAACAAAAGTCTGACAAGCCTTAGGGGTGGTTTGATTCAGAGGTTCCTGGTGGAGTCCAGGCTCTGATTTCTGTTTTCTGCTGCACCCTCAGCTCTGCTCCAAATAGCTTCATTCCCAGCTAGGCCCCCATCTCTTGTTAGTAGCAATGTCCACTGGATTTCTAATCCCACCTTTTTATGCCAAACCACCTGAGGTAGGAAAGAGCATCAATTCCAGAAGCTTCCATGAAAGAGAGAAAAGATTTCTAACCCAGAGACCCTCAGCAAATGTCTCCTCTTAGAGCCACACTGAGTCAAGTGTCCATCCCTGAACCAATAACCAAAATCTGGGTAATAAGATAAGTTGATTGGCTCAATCTAATCAAAGTCTACTCGGGAGCTGGGGATACGATGGCTCGCCCAAACTGTTTAGCTTGGAAATTCTGCGTTCTGTTAAGAAATGAAAGGGTAGGGAATAGTTGCTTCGAAAACAATCAACGAAAGTCCAGTATGACATCACAGATCTGTATTTATTGACCAAAGATAGTCACACATACAGTTCAGTAAAAAATTCGATTAAAGGAGAATGTGTCTACTAAATGCCCCATCTTACAAAATACATAGTGTCATAGTGT